TCATTATTCAATGTGAGCTTTTAACCACATGCGAAACTTGAATACTGATTTGTGTTTTGCAAAGAAGTACATTGATATAACTGGTTGTTCTGCATTAAGGGGATATTTGGTTCAAGGAATGTTAGATTCTCATAAGAATGGAATCCACATTTTCATGTTTGGTTGGTCGAGAATCTCATTCCCGGTAATGTTTTATTACCTATAGTAGATTTTTTGGTGTATATTACCGGGAATGTCATTACCTCCCTTTCCTTAGATATTGTTCGATTACCGACGTTTTGGACTAAAATTCCCTTAAAAAATTTCCAAAAATTTTATATGAAATCAGGGGTTAAAATAAAATTTTACCCTTTCATTAAACATTTTTATATTTTCAATTTTGTAATATATATATATATATATATATATATATATATATTTATGAATTTAAATTTTTTGAAGAAAATATATAAATATTTTCCAACTTGTTAAAAAACAAATATATAATAAGGATAATTTGGTCAATTATGCATTCCAATAATCTTTTATTCCTTTAACCAAATATGGTAATCTTACATCCCTGCTAAACCAACCAAACACAAAATACAACATTCTCAGTAATCATATTCATTGGTAATCTTACATTCCCACCGGTAATCTTACATTACCACAGGGTTGGAGATTGCTTGCTCTAATTTTGTCGGCTCAACAGCGATTTTTAGAGGCTGAGATAGTTACTGATGCTGCATTAGATGAGACTGGCAAATGGGAGCAAGGACCACTGCTCAGGCTGAAAGCAAAATTGAAGGTCTCCTAATCACGACCCATGGAAGCTATTGATACTTATCGTCACCTCCTTGCATTGGTTCAGGCCCAAAGAAAAGCACTTGATCCTATGAAAACTGATTCTCAGGTTCAAATCAAATTTTTTATTTCTTAATTTGTTTTAAGAATGTTTTGGGGTTGCTTTAGCCACATTTAATTGTCCCTAATGCAATATGTCAGCACTAGTAGTACCATGTTCCATAGGGTGTTACACCGCACTATTTTCCATAAAAATTTGGGCTCAGTGAATTACATTTTGTTGCTTGAATAATGAAGCAAGGTTCTGATTTTAAGGAAAGAATATGCTTATAACATCATTGTGCTTCAATGGTGTTACCAATTGAACACTATGTTAGTTTTGAGTTTCAAACATCAGAGCTTTGCATCAGGTTGTTAATTGTAAGCTCTCCCTTGAAACAATAGTGAAATGAGTTCACATAATTATCTCATGGAAGATGTTTTCCTATAGCAGATACCAGAACTAGTGCCCCTTTTAGACTTGTCAGGCAGTTGTGAGTGATATATGAGAGATGATGACATCGTTTGATAGAGGAGACAAATATGTTCGTTGAGGGATTAATTTATGCGGGACTTTCTTTTACGTTTTACGAGCTTGATTGTAATTTTTACAGAAATTTAGGCTAGTTTTAAATTTAAATTCATTTTTATTAGTATTTTATTTAATTTCTAAGCATTAGGTTTTAGTATTATATTTTTTATTTTCAGATCTAGTTAGCTTACAAATGTACCTTTTATTTTAGTTTTGTTTAGGTTTTGGACAATGAACATTTTGTGATACTGATTATTGAGATTTTCTCCTCTATGGATTCATTACGGCTTTCTGCCCTGATTCTTTGTGGTTTTTCTTTCCTAGTTCTTCTGTTTCTTCTCTAATTTTCACTGTTACTTACCAATTGTTTGTTTTTCTGATTTTCCATCAAATTTTCTACTTTCTATCTGAGCCACCTACTAGTTCTACATATAAGTTATACAATTATGAAATTACAATGCATTATATGTCTAGCAAGCCTAGAAATGAGTATGGTTTACTTTTGTTCGATGTATGAGACAAAGTCCTATTATAAGAATTAAGTTCTGACTTAATTCTGGATGCCTTACCTAATGGGGAAGGGAATAACAATTAGAGGTGTAAACGAGCCAAGTCGAGCTCAAATATTGTTGAGCTAGACTCGAACTCAAAACCATTTATAGTAAACTCGACTCAACTCGAAAACTCGCGAACTAAAAATTATCAAGCTCGACTCGAACTCGATATATATTATTAAAACTCGACTCAAACTCGAAAAGGTTCGAACTTAAAAAAATTTCAAGAGCTCGATTTAAACTCGAATCAGACTCGATTTAAACTCGAATCAGGCTCGATTTAAACACAAATCAAGCTTGAATCTTAGCCAAAAGGCCGAGAAAAGTATTTTTTGAGCTGCACAAGCCCACTTGTTTTATAAGTAGCTTATCCTATCAGCTTATAGTATCTCGACGATGTGGGATATGAAACACAAAAGAAAACACTTCCAAATATCTGCAAAAACCCAAGTCAGGCACAAGAACCCTCTCGTCTTTCTTCTCAGCCCCTGCAAAATATGAAACACTTCCAAATTTATGCAAAAAAGAACCCACATAAAATCATAAAAAAAACCTCTTATTATCCACTCAAAATTAATCAAAAAAGCCCCTATATCATATACATCAATGCATTCCTAAAGACTTAAGCCAGCTATGTATGTTCATGCATACCGGCAAGGTGTGTAGGCGATTAAAGAAGCCGAAGCAACCATGCTCCATCAAATTCCCTCCATAATGCGCTGTTTAAGCCTCACTTAGCAATCGTGTACCTTTTGAGTATCTATAATGGCCAACTGATGATGAAATTACAGGATCTACTGTACCATAATATATATAAATATATTCAATGAAGCTTCCTATCAGAAAGGCACAATTTATATTACAGTCTTAACCAACTTATGGTCCTATTTTCGTGTCTTCGAAGTGAAAGCAGTCGGCAACTGACTTCCATTCTGAGTAATATCGGCATGAGATGGGTCCTTAAACATTGGTCTCAACGGCGAAAGCAGTAGGGCAGCTTTCTCTCCTCTTTCTGCACCATGTAAGACCTGAAATTCGTAGTAATTTATCCTATAAGCAACCCCATAGATGAATAAGAATTCAGATGAAAGCACTAGATGAGATGCTGTAAAGTCAACCATCACAAATACTACAGACAAGCAGTTAACTACAAGTTTAATGAAATTAGCAACTCAACAGACCCCACATTCTCTTCCAAAAATAAAAGAACCTAACAGCCGATACCCAATTTTAAACAAACATGTTACAAGCAGTTCAAATCTCAGAGGAGGGTGTCATAAATTTTAATTGATTGATTACTTACTTTTTATTTTTCATCTCAGCTTGATATTGAAGGAACATTTTAGATATAGGTTTATTTCTTGGTAAAGATTCATGAAATCTTGGAATCAACAGCAGAACATAATGAAGCCTACCCATTGACATTAAAGGAACAAAAGGTAATCCCACAAACATGCAGTTGCAAGTGTTACCTCAGATGTGCAGAAGCATTCAGTTTCAAACATGCAATCTAGGGAAGATGGACGTGTTGCTGGAAATATTACACCTACTGTGGGGGAGCCTTCTAATAGGACATTAAAAGAGAATTCTGACCTCCAGACGGTGGAAGAGTGCAGTGAGGGCTTGGCTGTAGAAAGTCCTGGCCGACTAGGGGTAGCCCGTGCTTTAGAAATGAAGTATTAGTATTTTAGGACCTGTTATATTTGTAATCTTTTGATTTCGTCATTAATCAAGGTTTACGTTTTTATTATTTGGGTTGTTAATTTATTTTTATTTTATGTTTTGATCACCGTTTGTTTTGATAATAGACCTATTGATTGATTTGACCAAGTGTGATTTGTTAGTTTATTTACATATAAACCCTTGTTAATTTCATTAATTTTATTTTGCATAATTTGTATGTTATCTTCATGTGCATAACTTAACCCCTATCACACAAACGGATTAAGGGTTTAAGGTTTAGGGTGTAAGGTTTAGGGCTTAGGGTTTATAGTTTATGACTTACGATTAGGGGTTGGGATTTAGGGTTTATAATTTATAGTTTAAGGTTTAAGGTTTAAGGTTTAGGGTGTAATCTAACATGTGCTTAATTAAATGGGTTTTTAATTTTCTTTTAGTATCCTATCACATAATTAGATTAAGGGTTTAGGGTTTAGGGCTTAGAGCCTAGGGTTTATGGTTTAGGTTTTGGACTTAGGGTTTATAGTTTAGGGTATATGGTTTAAGTTTTGAACTTAGGATTTATAGTTTAGGGTTTAGGGTTTATGGTGTAATCTAACATGTGCTTAATTAAATGAGCTTTTATTTTTCTTTTAGTAATATACAATTTAACAATTGGACTTAAGTTGCTTAATTAAAAAAATTAAAAATTGAGGGTAGTTGTATTATAGAATTTTTAATATATTTTTAAAATTTTATAATTATAAATAATGTATTTTTAATATATTTTTTATAATGTAATTTTAAAAAATCTAAAATTATAATATAACATTTTTTTCGAGGTGCACACGAGCTTTTCGAGTCGACTATCTAGTAGCTCGTTTCGGCTCATTAAGAACTCGAGTCGAGTTCGAGCTCGAGTCGAGTTCATTCGATCCGAGTATTTATCGAGTCAAGATCGAGTCGATCTCGAGTAGCTCGTGATATGTCTCATCTCATTTACAGCCCTAATAACAATAGAGGATTGCGAGAAATTACCAGAAGGCCCCCTGCTTTTACTGATCTTATGGGGGAAAAATATGGATCCAAACAGAGGACAATTGGAAAAGTATGGGATCCAAACAATGCAATGTCATTCAATATGGATCCATTTAATGGGAAAAGGCTTAATTTGTCACTTTTGTTTTTAGTTAAAATGCTCTATATCGGAATTTGGTGACATTGCTCATCTCCTTCATGACAAAATTTTGGGTTAGGCCTAGCCCTTGAGAGGCTTAGTTGTGTTGTATCGAGTGTTGTAAATGTTTGATATTTTGGTTGTCGATTTTTCATTGCTTCTAAATCAATCTTTATTCTTTTTACTGATAGGTTGATGATAAAGTAAAAGAATTTGAAGTTCGGTACGGCCTTGCAACTCTGTACACTAATCTTTCACACTGGAAGGATGTGGAAGTATGTGTGCAAAAAGCCAGAGAAATGAAACAGTATTCTGCTGAACTGCTGAATACAGAAGGCAAGATTTTAAACCTTATTTTACTGAATGAACCTGCTTTTTTACCTCTACTTTCTACTTGTTAAGCTTATAGTGGAGTGCAATGTTCATTTTCTGAACAGGATTTTGTTAATGGTTGACTATATATATTTTTTAATTTTAGTTTTATTTGTATCACTGTTGTTTGTGTAGGAAATAAATTATTGATATTATAATTAAATTTAAGAAAGGAATACGTGTATAGAGTTTTAGCGAGAACTAAATGGGAGAAACTCCCGAATCCAGATATTATAATGGTATTAATAGTTTGTGTAACAATATTCCAGGTGTTATGCATGAAGAACGTGGAGAATTCCAACAAGCATTGTCTTCACATATGAATGCTGGCCTGCTAGACCCACATTTTGTACCGTCCAAGGTACGGATTGGTGCATTGTTGACCAAGATGGGGTTGATTGCTTTGCATGTGGCGAGAACTGTACTCTCAGATGCACTGAGGATCGAACCTACCAACCGTAAGGCTTGGTATCACCTAGGTATGGTACACAAGGATGATGGTCGCCTTTCGGAAGCCGTAGATTGCCTCCAGGCAGCATCGATGCTCGAAGAGTCGGACCCTGTTGAAAACTTCAGATCTATCCTTTGATCGGCGCCCATACCTTCCAGGTACTGGAATCTTATATATGCTTATATCCTCTAATATTTGCTGCAAAATCAACTAATGGAATGGTGACCAACATTCGCCTTCCCCCTACATCTGTCATGGGCAGCCTCGGGCACAGTCCAATGCGCAGACCATGACACATACAGGGCTCTTTGCACAGGCTTTCCTGTTTATTTAGTTAACGTCATGGGTGCCACAAATGAAGAGAGATCAAATGGAAATTGAAAGAACAATGAGATGAAAAAGAAGGAAATATTATAGCAGCAGATGTCTGGGGTTGAAAAATTATAGGAAATGTAGTAAGGGAAGTTCTCAAATGCTCCTATAATAGTGTTTTGCTTAGCATGCTTAATGACTATAATATATTTAATTCAAAAGATTTGTGTTATTTATTTTAGAGATCAAAGGATAAAGAGGGGGGAGATTGATTGTTTCATTTATCCACTGTAATTTTTTGTTATTTATAATTGGTTGATGGTGTCTTGCTTGACAGTAAAATTGTATATCTTCCCCTTGAAGAAATAAATACCATATTTTTTTATGAAGAAATGATTGTGCAGTTATTTTTTTGCCAACAAAATGATTTTGTAATTGATAAACTAAAATTGATCTTGTTAGCGTATTTTATGATTCAGAAATTGTATCCCCTAAAAAAATTCATATTGGAGTTTCTTTTCTTCTATATAAAAATAGATATTCTTTTTCTGACCTAGTTTATATATATATATATATATATATATATATATATATAAATCCAATTTAGTCTCTAAACTTGGCGTATCATTTGAAGAATCTCTTCCAAATTTTCTTTGCCTCCCAGGTGGTCATATGTAGTAGGAATAGAAAGATAACCTGTAAAATCAAAACCAAAAACTTTTCCAATTTAAAGAAAAACTAATATAATAAATGTCAGCCAAATTTGCATATGATCAATTAAATATTTGAAGAAAAGCAAATATAAAAGACTAAGTATGGAGGAAAAACTGTTGATGATACCATAATACAATTATCCCTTATAAAACTTGTGCTCTTAGGTACAATAATAATGTCGAGTTACAGGGATTTCCTATTATAATTTACACTGAGTAGATTCTGAAAACACATGCTTTCACATAAAACAACCAACCAGGTACGACATTCAATTTCAGTTCACTAAATTCAGCCTCGAGGAGCATTCAAGAGTACCGTAGATGTAATTCCATTACCACAACTTCTACAACTCCTGTCTGCTTATGTAGTCAACACGTTGGTTGCGGCTTTTGGTGGTGGCTTAGCCTTTGGGTTGGGTCAGATGGGGCAGGATTAAGGCCTTCCTTCCCCATTTGTTGCACTTCAAGCGGAGATAATATCTTGATATACCACACATTGTTCACAAATTCCCTGATTATCACATAACATCGAACGGAAAAAAAAACAGCCACCAGAACCAAGAGTTCATAAAACATTGAATGAAAGTATCGCACTCATGTCTGTAATTTGGTGAAATAACTATGAAGTAAAGCCTGTTAACCATCACAGACAATTATTCAAAAATAAATGAAGGGTGGTTTGGAACTTACTGCCAAGGATCATCACCAAGGAGAAGAATATCATTCTCCTTGCCAACAAATACAAGCTGCCAGCCTGATCTCTGAGGGTCCTCTAGTTGGCCTTCAAGACCAAACATTCGAGCGAGCTCACAGCGCAGCTCATTATAGCTGCTGAACTTGGATATATCCAATGAGCGGCCGAAGGACCCCGACTTGTGAACCTATCAACAAGAAAAATATCATAAACCATGAGAATCACAAGCCATTAGATAAACTAGACACAATCATGTAATTAGCTTTTGAACTGAATAGAAAGTCTCCAATGCAATATCATTAAATACACAACACTAAAAATGGCTGTCCCTTTTTCCCATATGTATGGGGTAAGGGGGAGGTAAGATAATAGGCTACCCCCAACACCAGGTTGAGAGCGGCTTCCGTAAGAGACCTCCGAATTATGAAATACACAACACTCCGTTAACTAAATGTTCCAATTACTAAAATAAACCGGTTGGTCAGCCAAAATGGAAAAAGAACGGTTGTTTTTATGAGCAACAACAGCCTACAAAGGGCTTGCCTTAATAAAGTACAGTTCACAAATAAGAGATCCATCAAAAGTGATCCTCAAGTCCGCATGGCAACGCTTTGCCTAATCTAATGTGAGCTTTGCAGTGATTTATTCATCTTAACAATAAAATAAGACAACTCCCACATATTTCATCATGTAAAAATAATCAAAGACATTAGCAAAGAAAAAGAAAAGTACCATCACCTTAACAAAGGTTCCAGTTGGAGGGTTTACTTGGTCCACATATTCAGAAGATTGCAAGTAACCTGATTCATCCACACAACTTGAGGTCATGTCTGAATTAAGTGGAAAATCTGTGCCAGAAGCACTTGTGAAATTGGAAGCAGAATATGGAAGGGAAAATGAATCATTTTCGTTTCCAATATTTTTTAGGTTTGCCATCCCATGCTGCAGCATAAGCGACGAGGAATCAATGCTAACACCAAACAAAAAAATGTTTTGTGGATCAGTTGAACCAGGGTAAGCAGAATACTCTCTTCCCGGAAATGGAGGCAATAAGTTAGAAAGTCCATTTGACTGTGCAGTTCCTAGTTTTTCAACCTGAGGCAGTACATAGTTAGCAGGTTCAGATGAAAGTTGTGGTTCAATAGGCACTGGCTTGGACAACAAAGCAGAAGAAGAGATAATTGGGTTTGATCCATTCAAGCTGAGTAATGGGAAGCTCCAGCATGGGATAATGAACCTAAGATACTTTGCATTGACGAAACATTCGACGTGTCAAGAGAGTTCCCAGGATGATCTGAAATGTCTGCTGCTGGCAATGTGAAGCATCAGCCTGGGCCTGGCTGGTTGATACATTAGGAAAAGCGGGGATTACATTAGAACTCTGCTGTTGATCAGACATCTTTGGTGGTTGAAGTGTTTGTTGAGCCTGTTGCTGTTGTTGTTGACGCTGATCATTGTATGAATTGGAACGCTGCAGCTGTTGCTGTTGCAGCGGTTGTTGCCGTTGGCGCTGATCATTGTACGAATTGGAACGCTGCAACTGCTGCAAAAGCTGAACCTGAGAAGCAGTCTGATTCTCCTGAAAACCGTGAAGAAAAGCATTTTCTGTTTGAGACTGCTGCAACATCAGCCTCTGAATTAGAGCAGGCGACCCACTGGATGTGCTCTGTGGTTGCTGGAATTGCAAGAGAGATTGAGAGCCGATTTTCAATTAATCAACTGTCCTCATTTCCTGAAATGCCGCAGCAGCCATTGCTTGGTAAAGATCAGATTGGACACCTGGTATTGAAGAAGTATCAAGCTTTGGCTCCATCCAGGGTGAAACTCCAAAACCTTGGAAGTTTAAAGACTGAAGACCTTGATCTCCAACCCCTCTTTGAAGCCACATCAGTTGGGAATTGATTTTCATATCACCATCTTTGAAAGCTGACAACAAACTAAACTCGTTCAGAACAGAAAAGGAAAATTCTTATTTTCAGATAAAGAAGAGGTCGTATAATTCCCAGCAAACTTGGCAAAGATTCCAGCATACCATTGAAAGAGGGTAGTGCAGACGGCCATGGCCGTTTCAGACGCATGGGGAAGGGTGACGAATACATGGGAAAGGTTGTTAATGGTTCAATCTCCCACAAGGACACTCTTGGTTGCTTCTCTCCTGCCGTGGATTCATCCCAGCCAACCTGGGATGTAAAGTAACTCTTTCATGTCAGATACTATAGAACACATGCCTATTTAAGGGGTAAAAAGAAGGGAACAAATATAATATTGGGAACTAAAATTAAGCACACAGAAACTTCAAACAAACCTTAACAGAACGCCAATGCGAATTTGGCCAACGAACAGGATCCAAGTCACTAATGCCAGTTATCGTACCCATATATCTGATAAAACACCCAAATTAACAGCCAGTGACTTAACTTGCAAATGATACTACAGTCAATTGACTGATAAAAATAGAAGTTTTTATTTAAGGAAAATAAGAACCATAGTTGCGGAAGGAAACACCATAAAATTTAAGCAATTCCCAAAAGTAAGAAAACATTTAGAGAATTAAGACCCACCGGCGGACACTTGACTCTTCTGTCTCAAATAGCATTCTAAACCGCATGCCTACAGAAACCCGGGTATAATAGACTGCTTTAACATACTTGGCAAAAGGAATGACAAACTCTGAAGGACTAGCCCTGCAATCAAGCCACCATAAATGTACAAGATCTCAGGTTGGAATAGCATCAGTATTTTTTAATTAGTATTAAGTAGCTGACCTTGGGTTATAAAATATAGTGAAACGGCTATTGGTTGCAGATGCATGAGCTGCTGCAGCAAGAAGACCAATGTGCATGCTATCACTTGATAATACGGAAGAAGGCATCACAGTCTGAGGACGATTTGCTCTGCGAATACCCAGCAATAATTGATTCTTCTCATTCCTGATAGAAAACATGTAAAATAATAAATAATAAATAATAAAAGATAATATATTGATTAGCAAGCTTACTGATCAGTAGCATCTTGAGAAAAAAGCAGTAGAACTCAAAAATCAGCCTAAACCAAGCTCAACTCAACCCAATTTGACCTCGAGAAGTCACTTGAATGATGCAAACAAATCAGTTTGACTTCAAAACTAAACAATGTGGATCAAAATGATTCAAACCCGAATGATAAACCAAATGAACAGAACTTGATGCAACCCAAACTAAAATTTATCCTAGTTTTCCCAATCCAATGCAAGTGAACCCACCCAACTGCCACCTCAGCTACAAACGAGGAGGAGCACACCAGTAGGTTCTTCGCTTTAGAAATGAAAAACAGGATTGAATACTTTATCATAGAAGATATATTCAAATACCGAAAAGTTGCAGTTCAAAAAAAATTTGCTGCCAAATAGTCTAAGCAGGATGATTCCACTTTATTATTTCAAACCACATCACAGATTTGACAGCTATTATCAGGATACGTCTCCAGCCAATCACAGAGCAAAGGTACTATGATTACAAACAAAGTAATCATAAACTATGCATGGAAGACGGAAAATGCAATTTACCATATAAAAAGAACCGAGTCACCATCAACAAGTCTTTTTGCACTAACAAAAACACTCCACCCAGTCATAAGAAGATGCCTTTTTGGCTGGCCTGCATATGACAGAATACATAAATTAATTTGAGGTTTTTCACACACATTGAAATTCAAAATCTTCTTATCATACAAGAAAGCACATATGTAGTTCTTATAGAATTACTACCAGATGAATTGACCATCATTAGCCATTAGTTAAGTTTTCATAGTTTCATTAACTGTTTTCAACAAAAGAACCTTACGGCTAATTGATCTTCACAACCCCCTCACAATTCCTAAGGGAGAAAAAGGACTTAAGCATATCAAAAGCGCAACATGATGGACTTAAAGATAATTGACCTTTCTAACTTGCCAAAAAAAATTGATATTCCTATAAGAAAAACACATCCACCGCATTTAAAGAATATATAAAAAAATAAGGAGCACCTTGGTCATTGTATTTCAGCATTTGTTCTCAAAACTAGAAAACTTTGCTCCTTCGCAAGTTGAGAAACAACGCACACTTACCAAACAAGTAGTCATCTCATGCTGTGAAATTCACAAAATAACATGCATTCAACAAAATGAAGTAAACAACAATAAAGCATTAACCGTAACATTTTTTTTGAAAATTTCCTCTTGCAATTTTTCTTCTTCTTATCCATCATAAATAACTTCACTTTGTAAGATTCGCATATTGCCCATGCTCTAACATATTATCTAAACCTCAGCACCAGAGGCTCTTAGCCACAATATAATCAAGAAATAATCAATGCAACATATAGCAAGGATATATTTATGGTCATCTTCATAACTTTTAGAAACTACATAAAACACCCAAGGGTTAAAGAAATGTTATAGCACCTTCCAAAATGAAACAACTTATTCAAAAAGTAAATAAACCGACAATAAGCAAAATACAAAATCAATTGAAGTGTAATGACAAATTAAAGAACAAAATCATGATAATTTAAAACTTCTCTAAAATATGTTGTGAGACAGAGTATTGAACAAAGTTGTTTTAATCACTCACCGCGAAATACATGCCTAAATTTCCACTCATTTTCATGAAGATCCCTGGCAATTAACTCCTGAGCAGGAGGTTGCAGGGTGTAATCCTAAAAGTACAATAATATATAAAGAGGGATAAAGAGTTAAACCAATTCAATTAAAACCCGATGCTATGAATTGAATTGCGTGTAACCAATGAAAACATACAAGAGGAGGAAAGACTTTTTCAGCAGCCCGACGAGGAACAGAAAACCCACCATGAGTGCTTGTGTCACTTGCCGTCAGTGTTCTACAAAAATAATTGGTTGGCTGTTTGCCGGGAGTACCAAGTTCCGCAGGCAGTAGGTACACATTCTTTTGCTCTTGCTACAACTAAGATTTCAATTCAAGAAGCGAAAAATGAAAAGAATAGAAAGAACTTAAATCCCCAAACAAGGTCAATTTCCCATACCGGACTCAGAGGCTGCAAGGTCATTTGAGCATAAACTTCATCTGTTTCTACATCTGCCTGTACTCGAATAAACGCCTTGATAAGCAACCAACTAAAAAGTTCCATAAACAGAAAGTAGTCTGTGGCTCTGTGCAGTATTTAACTTACATGCATAGTCACATTGTGAAACTGACAGATAAGCTGTGGGGGTAAGCTCGGAGAGTTTGGTATATGAGCATCTACTTCCTTGTTGGTCGAAGCAGCAACCTGCAGAGGGAACCATAAACACCAAAGCGCAATGAAATAATAGAGAGAAGCATTTGGTTCCTAATAGAACACTCTTATCATTTAGGAGGCTGTTTTTTTTTAGGGAATAGAAGCCCTCGTTAAAAACCTCCCTCGTAGTTGCCTCTTGTGTGGAGATAAATAGTGGAAGGAGGGAAATAGTGCCTTAATATATTAATAACTTATAATTACATAAGATTACCAAATATTACATAAGATTACCTAACATAGAAATATAATCAAAATAATACACCAGAACCACAACTCATAACAACAACCTCCTCACTCACTAACCAATTCCTGACTTAATTAGACAATCAGCTTCCTCATTAATACATCTGCCGATATGCTTAATAATAATATTAGAATGCACAACTGTCTTCTGAATTTCTGTAATCAAATCAACAAGGTGAACCGGGCAAAGTTCCGGGCTGTTGATCCACTTCACAACAAGAAACGAGTCAATTTTTAAAATCATAATTCCCTTGTCCCTCCAAACTGAATCAAAAAACGCTACTAACCCCGCTTTGATCGCAAAAATCTCAGCAAGAATAGGAGAATAAGGTCCTAATGCTCTAGAGAAGGAAAGCAGCTTGTTAATATCAGTATCTTTAAGAACTCCACCAACACCACTTCTTCTCCAGTCAAAGTTAACAGTCCCATCAACATTCATCTTAAAATAACCGGTAGGAGGAGGACACCATTTTAATCTTGACAGACGAAAGTTAGAGGGGGACATATGCATATCCGCCAAAGTAAGATCTCCCACAAGGTGGTTCACTTGAATAGACACATCCTTGTTTTTAGCTAAAAACCATGACGCTACCCTATACCTCACCAAAAAAACATATTAGCTTTATCCATCTTGTATTTCTCAAATACAATCTGGTTCGTGCACAGCCAGACATACCACAAAACAACTCCTGGAATAAATCTTCAAATACCCGAGTTAGGTCTTAATTGCAACCATGAAAGCAAGAAGCCTTTCGAATTATTCGGTAGAACTGAAATAACTTTCCACAGACGGAGGAATTTGACCCAAATCTGCCAAACCTGGACGCAAGAAAAAAATAAATGACTGACCGATTATGGTTCTACTCTACAGAACACACATAGTGGGTTTTCGATATCTTTGACTCCTCTTCTCAGTAAAACAGTTTTGACAGCCAACTTCTGATGAATAATTTGTCAAAGGAATATCTCCACTTTTGGTAGAACTAAACCCTTCCACACAATCTCCAACCATGAATTATCTGAGTCTGAAAAGCTTGAAAAATAATCTAGAGCAAGATTGAACCAAGAACACACCATCCCCACTACCTTTCCACGCAAAACGGTCTTCACCCTTCACCAGAGGACGAAAATTACATAACATTCTCGGGAAATGTACCCAAGGAAACGAGTTGAGATATTATCGTCTTTTAAAAATTTTAAATTTTTATATCTTTTAAATATTATTTTATATTTTCTATTAATAATTTATTTTTGTTCCTTTAAATTTTTTATTAGTCAGTCTCTCCTAAAATTTTATAAAATAACTCTTTTAATATAAAATTATATGTCAGTATTAGATATAATCTAATTTTAGCAATAGTAATTATTTTCTTGAATGATGAAGAAAAAAACAATGAAAGTATCCTAGGTGAGCTGTGTCATGCATGACGCTGCTTGGCTCATCTCGAGCAAAGCAACTTTCGCACGCAGGAGGAGTCGAAAATTTCTATGTTTGATTTTTTAAAATTGAAAATTGTGAATTTTGATTGTGTAAAATTCCTGTACCGGATAATGAAAATATTGTTAAACTGTGGGGAGAAGATCGACTGTGGATTTCATTGGGTTGTGGAGGTCCAATTGTCCAAATGGCGAGATGATGAACACAGTCATATATCACACATACATAAACAAATAATAGATGGATTGCTGGAATCTTATCCTCCTCAACTATTTCTACCTTTAAAACATATTATTATATCTTCTCTCCCCTATATTATCCAAACTTTATTTTACGTCGTCATCATACTTCACTTTTTCAAATAAAACTTAGAGTTAATTGCATCAAATGTCCTCAAAATATTACCCTTATTTTAAATTGGTCCTCAAACTTTTAAATATTCCAATTTCATCCTTATACTATGACTATCATTCTAAATTTATCCTCAAACTTTTAAACATTACAATTTCATCCTCAAACTATGGCATTCATTTTAAATTGATCCTTGAACTTTTTAAACATTCCAATTTCATCCCAAACTATATCTATATACTAATCACATCTCTTGTAAATAAAATCGTGAGGCCAAGTTATATTATTATATGTTTCAAAAAACCAAAATCTAAGTTAAACTATGATTGAAATTTGGAGGTGAAATTAGAATCTTCAAAAGTTTGGAGAAATAATTTATGGATGCAATTAGAATGTTAACAATTTAGGGACTAATTTAGAACAAAAGTGATAATTTGGGATGATATTAGAATATTCAAAAGTTCAAGAATCAACTTAAAATGAAAGCTATAGTTTAAGGACATATGCTGCAAATAATTCTAAAATTTGGAATACACATACTCGTATAATAATTTTAAAGTTTAATAATTTTGCTATAATTTATATATTTAAAATTATAAAGTATACGGATATAATATATTTATTGATGGAATGATTCTGATAATATTAATAACCAATTATATCATACATTTTTTGGATCTTACTAATAATTCTTAAATTTCTTGTTGAAGAGAGAAAAGAATAGAGATCTACCTAACTTGCAACAATATAATTTTATTATCTCTAAAAGAATATTAGATAACCTTAATACCTCACACTTCAACAACCAACCGAGCCATTAAAAAAAAAGCAAGTATGCACATCTATCACGTTCTTTAATAATTGGGAGTGATTTTCAACGAGAGCATGCTACTTTTCAATCTTTTAAGATGCAATGTGTAGACATCAATTTTTTTCATTTAAAATTATTATTATTATTATTAGTATTATTATTATTATTATTATTATTATTATTATTATTATTATTAATATTAGTATTATTATTATTATTATTATTTTTGTTTTATTATTATTATTTTTATTAATAATATTATTATTATTAAATAAATAAAAAAATATAATAAAAATATTACAAGGCCCAAAACTGGGGCCCGATTACAATTGGCCCAGCAGAGCCCAAACCCTTTAGGGTTTGTAACATTCAGCTAGGGTTGTCTAAACCCTAGCTTCCAGACGCCGCCGCCGCCGCTCCAAAGTTCCAGTGAGTTTCAGCCGCCTTGCCGACGCTACAGTGCCACGATGACTCCAACAGAACACTCCAGAACGTCACGAAGCTACCCACGTTGAGCCCTATGGTGAGTCACCACCATAGCTATGGTGACTCACCGGGCCTTTCATCTCTGGAACCGGTCCAACGAGAGCCTCGGTGGTGGCTATAAAAACCACCCCACCTGTAAGAAAGAAAGAAGACAGCCACAGAGAGCAACAGAGGACGACAACAAACAAAACAAAAAAAAACAGAAAACGAAAGGAGGACAGCCAGCAAACAGGAGACAACAACATCAACAGCAAGCAATCCAACCACCATCAAACACCAAAATAACGAGATAAAAATCGAAAGAAACCTTACCGAGGAAAGCCACACCACCACCGGAGTAACCACGCGCCTCCACGCTCCACAACAAACCTTCGAAAACCGAAGGTATTTTTGAAGATTTGCTCCGATTGAGAGCTTTTTAAGGTAAACAAATACCGGAATCGTCATTAGGACGATCCGATCTACGTTATGATATAAAGTTTTATTTTCCGGCCACCGGAGGCGGTGGCCGGCGGTGAGGTTGACGGTGGCTATCGGCGCCGGAATTCCCTCCGGTGAGGGAATTAAGAGAGAAGGAAGAGAGAGATTCTTCTCTCGTTTTTGAGAGAAGAAGAAGAAGAGAAGAATAAGCTGCTGGCCCTTCGGGCCAGTTATGAATGGGCTTAAATAGCCCTCCCCAAACGACGCCGTTTTGGGGAGGGATCTGTCCGTAATTAACAAAAAGATTAATCTCGTCCGCCATCCCTTTAATTTGTAATCTTTACCTTTTAGTCACTGAATCAAATTTTTGATCCTTTTAATTTGGTCTCTACATTTTATTTATTTATATTTTAGCCATTAACCGTATTAATATATATTTAAGATAAATATCATATTTAGTCCTTTAATTTTAATAAATAATATTTTAATCCCGAGTATATATTTTAATTTATTTTAATATGATATTCGAATTTTATATAGTTTTAAATTAGTCACCAAATTAATAAATAAGGAAAATAGCATGTTTAATCCCTGAAATTTTAAATAATTAATATTGAATTAGGTTTTTAATTTTAATTTTATTATAATTTAGTCACTAATTTTAATATTTCATTTATTTTACTGCTTTTAGATATATAGTTCTAATTGTATTTTTACTGTTTTAATTTTACTTGTTTATATATTTAAATATTTTTTTATTATTTTTTTTCCATAAATTATTTTAATATTTATTTTTCAATATCGAGGAAAAGGGCAGTCTTAATACAACTGGATGTCCTATTCTGGTATTTTAAATATTATATAAAATTATAATTTAATTTTATTTAAATTATTATATTAATAGTTATTAATATCGAAGAAAAGAGCTGTCTTAAGACACCTAGAAGTCCTTTTCTGATATTTCTAAATAAATAAACATTTTATTTATAAATATATATAAATTATTTTTTTCTCATAATTATAATTTTGAAATAATAGGATAATAAATTAAATATATTTTGAATTTTTAAATTTCTAATAATAGAGACAATTTATAATTAAAAAGTACCAATTTTTGGGCGTTGTAGGGGTGCTAATCCTTCCCTAAACGTAACCGACCACGAATCTCTTTTTATTATTAAAAAGAACGAATTTTTGGTTATAAACGTAGATCAGTTCATCTTTTAACTGATGTTTTCTTAAAAACTCTGTTAAAAGATAATTTTTAGGTATTCGACCTACCTAACCCAAAAGGCCGATGGCGACTCCCAAGTTATTTATTTTCAAAACCATTTATTCACATCAATTTTCCCGCCAAGTAAAATATTTCGTGCCCGGACGAAAACCGGTTACGACAGCTTGGCGACTCCACTGGGGATGATGTCAAACTTTAAAATCAATTATAAATTGTCTCTATTAATTAGAAATTAAAAATTCATTTATTTAATTTTTAATTCTTTTCTTTCAATTTTTTTATTATTTTTATATTAATATTGTTTTTTTTTATTCAGGTATTAATTATTTTATTTATCTGTTAGAGGTTTGAATATTTCTCCTCACACACAACACTTGCATTGCATAACATAAAGCTCTATAATTGAGCTTGTCCCTTTTAAGTGGGAGTGAAAGCGACGTCTTCGTGAGAATTTATTCTCCGTGTCAGACCTAGCAAGTAACTTTCGGGGTTCATATGCTTTATGTCTTCGTGAGAATTTATTCTCCGTGTTAGTCATGGAGAAATGTATCCCCTCGAATTGAAATCGGTCTGTTTAAGTCTGTAATGGACTAGGATTGAGGGTTTGACAGCCCAAGGGGGCATCAACAAGAACAATTCGAGTACCTTTACTCCTAGAACTGAAACTCTGCATATAATGAACCCTAGAACTTCTCCTAATCTAAGACAGTACTGAACCTCTGTTTATAGGTGTATACAAAGGAGAAATAAGCTCTAGTTTTTAATTTATTATTATTTTTTCTCCCTGAATAAATGCATGCGAACTAGAAATCATGCGATTAGGTTAATTTTTCCAAACAAAGCATGGAACTAGAAAGCATGAGGTTAGGATTTATTATGATAAATAAATTTTTTCTTTCAATTAGTTTGGTATTAACCATTTTTTTTTTCTTATTTTCCCATGTATGTTATTTTTGCTCTAATTTGTTTAAATTATTTTCTTTTGTTTGCATTGCATGATCATGACCAAAAGGTGTTAACTGAAAAGACTGTTCATCAAATTAGAAAGAAATCATAAATGGACAAAAAGTTTTATGATCGAACAAAATATGACGCAGCCAAGAAAAGACATCCTGAGGGAACTCTAAAGATAGAGAAGAGCTATGCACCCAAAGATTATATGCCCATTGAAGAGCAAAAGGAGATACGAGAAATAAGAGAGCAGATGTCCAAAATGATGGATAGAATATCTGTTTTGGCCAAAGGAAAAGAGATTCCAGCACAGAAAGAGAG